CAGAAGGGAAATCCGTCTGTAGTTCTTCAAGAGAGCGTTGTCACCTTTCTTGAAGAACAAGACCACCGCACTTCTGCTCCATGCCTCCGTAGTAGTGCCACTATGGAGGGCGGAATTAAAGAGCTTCTGAAGGACTTTAAGTACCGGTTTTCCACCCGCTTTCAGAAGCTCCGCTGTAATTCCATCCTCGCCCGGGAACTTGCCGTTTTTAAGGTGCTAGAGAGCCATTCTAATCTCGCTCAGACTGACGTCCGGGATATCTTCGGAATAGTGTCGGATGAGGGTGAAACCTCGCGATCACGGAGACATCACTGAACAGTTGTCGTCTGGTCGTCATAATGAAGTCAATCTCATTTTTTGTTGAACCGTCGAGGCTCGACCAGGTCCACTTCCTACAGGGCCGCTTCTGGAAGAAAGAGTTCATCATAAAGAGTCCCTCTTTCTCCATGAAGTCGGCCAGCGGCTGGCCCCTTGGGTTCCGTTGCCCTATTCCAAATTTCCCTATTTTCAGTTCACCGTTCTCTCTTGTGCCTAGTTTTGCATTGAAGTCTCATATTAACACCGTATAATGGGTTTTGGAGGAATGCATAGCTCTAGAGATATCCTCATACATTTCCTCCACCTCCTCATCGGAGCGTGCCGAGGTTGGTGCGTAAACCTGTATGACCTTCAGCGAATACCGTTTGGTGATTCTGAATATAAGGTACGCAACCCTCGTCGACACACTCTCAATCTTTACAACGTTGTTAACGAGACTTGTGAACGATAAATCCGATACCTCCTTGGGACAAGTGGTCGCCCTCCCGGTGATAGAGCAAGTTGCCGGATTCGAGGTTTACCGTGTCCTCCCCCTCTCTTCGGACCTCGGATAATCCTATAATATGCCAGCGTAACTTGTCATCTCTTCTTCCAGCTCCACAATCTTCGCATCAGTCCTCAGGGTGCGTGCGTTGTATGTTGCCAGGTCGAGTCGTCTTAGGTGGCAACCGAACCTCCACCGGAGATTCTTAGCACCCCCTGCCCCGCCGTTACCACGGTCGCCACCGTAGCCAGGAATAGCGGGGCCACCGGGGACTGGGGGCCATCCCTTTGTTGCTCTAATCATTGGGGGGTATTTGCCATAGTTGCCACGCTTGGTGAGCGGGTTGGCAACCACAGTTTTTTTATTGTACTTTACATCAGGAAGATGCTGCTGCCCATCTCGTGCCTGTTTCCCTTTGTCGCCTTTTACGACACCCACGGGAAGATATGGGGTAGTGGATATTTTTAACCGCCACTACACGGCAGATATACCAATTAAATAATAGGTAATGCAATCTCTTACGTCGTCACTACATGGCATTAGAAAATTAGCAGGTGAAAAAATAAGAATTTAGTTCCAGTTTATATTATGCGCAGCCGAATACCTGTGCTTTGCTATGTTTAGAACTGTGCTGCTACGCTGCCAGTGCATGTTAACGGATTTCACCTTCCTTAGATGTGATTCACTCTCACCCTTACTATGTCTTCCTTCAACGCGAAGAACGTGATAAATCAGTACATACTTCAAAATGTAATAAACAATTTCATTGGGGCCGATGTAGATCAAACCCGATACTATTTTCGACAATCAGCTCTACTCAGAACGGCAAAATAACAGCCGTGGTAACACTATCACGGCTGTTATTTTGCCGCTATTGTAGTTATTGCTGTTATTATTCCATCATCCATTTTATCCAAGAGTGCTTTGCAAGGGCTCCCTCTTTCTGCAGCCAACGGATCCTTATGAAGTTGGTACCCTTATTGACCAGCTAAAAAACGATACTGCACCGGGTATCGACGGCTGCACCCCAAGGTTGATTAAACACATAAAACACACAGTTCTGCAAACACTTACCCACATATTTAATCTTTCTTATGTGCCATTTTTCCTAATTGTTGGAAATTAGCAGTTGTTACTCCAATCTTCGCTATATCGCCATATCTTTGCTAAGTATATTTTCCAAGTTACTGGAAAAAATTATAAGCAAGCGCCTCACCAACTTTATAGAAACTAATAATCTGCTCTCTGTAAATCAATTTGGCTTTAGGAGAGGTAAGTCCACGGAGGATGCGGTAGTTCTACTGACAGATGCTGTATCTAGATATTTGGACAATAGACGCAGCTGTGTAGGTATCTTCCATAATCTTGCTGGGACCTTCGACACCGTGTCGGTCCCTATACTGCTGCGGAAGCTTGAAACAAGAGTAATTAGAGGAGTGGTGTTGGCTTGGTTCCGTAGCTATCTTTTAAATCAGCGTCAATGCATAAGAGTGGGCTCACATACAAGTAAGCAATTAAAAATCAGTATTGGAGTTCCTCAAGGAAGTACTCTTGGTCCAATCCTATTCAGCATTTACATTAATGACGTCCTAGAATTACCCATACAAAGAGCAGACGTCATATGCTATGCGGATGATACTGCCATTATATTTAATGATTTAACTTGTGTTGAATAAATGGTTAAGTTCTAATTTAGTAACTCTAAACTACAAAAGAACTAAGTTCATAGCCTTTCACAAAACTCTCGCATCAAACCATTTTCGCTGGTAAACTTAGTAATTCACACTTGCGAATCTGAAGTACCCTTTTGTGTCTGTAATATAATCAGCAACACAGATAACATCAGGTATCTAGGAGTGATCATTGATGATAAGCTATCATCATATCGCTTGTCGGTTAGTGTTAGGAAAACCATTTACATAATGAAATCTTTGCGACGCTGTGTTACTAAAGAAACAATGAAAATGGTTTACAAAACACTAACACAGTCCCTACTATACTACTGCACGCTGGTTTGGGGTGAAGAGGCTGGCTTGGGCTCGAGAGGGCCCAGCGAGCAGTACTAAAAGTAATGTTGTCTAAAAACTTTAGATTTCCTACTGACGAACTGTACAAGGAATGTAAGATGCTACGGGTTCGCTAAATCTACATTTTAAAGGCAGTAATTCTAACCAACAGAAAAATAATAAATTCCCCGGATTATCTTAGCCTGTGCCATCGTCGGATCTTTCGAGTACCGATTCCCAATTCACACAGTAGCTTTATCAAACGCTACTCACCATTTCTTCTGCCTAGCATCTACAACAAATCCTGCTGTCTCTTCCCAGATTTGAGGTCTTTGTCCACAAGCAAAGTCAAACTCAAAATAATAACCTGGTTGATCCATGCTTCTTATCAGTATTACTTTCTTTTCATAGTTGACCCCATACATGCACACGTGTAGACTTACACTCACTCACACACACATGCAAGCACGCGCACACACACACACACACACACACACACACACACACACACACACAAACACACACGCACGCACGCACTCCTAGAGTCAATTAGCTATTTTTTTCTTTCTCTGGTGCATTAATTTATACAAAAAAAATTTTTGGCTTTATTTTAATTTAATCGGAGTCCTATGTATTTATCGGTGTGAACGGTGTCAGTCAATGTTCTTGGTTCCTGCGATACAAGCCTAGAGCTTAGTGCAGAAACCAGTGTATTGTTTAATTATGTAATGTTTTTTGGTTAAATAAATATATTTTCTATTTCTATTCTATTTCTATTATAGTTTTTTTATTTTCCATTTTTATTTCATTACAGCCCTTCACAAGTCCATTGCTGAACATAGGCTTCTCCCATGGAATTCCACAAAGCACGGTCCTGAGCCAACTGCACAATCGACTTCCTGCATGATATCATCCACACCATTTGGATGATTGGCGGTCGGTCCACCACTGTGCGATTTATAAGATGTTTTCTTCCTCGCACAACTTTCTTGTGAAATTGATTACCACCAGCGATTTTTCCGGACCGATACGACTTAGAGACCTTCAAGAAAAGAGCCTACTCCTTTGTAAAAGGCCGGCAAGGCATTTGCAATTCCCCTGGTGTTGCACTTGTTTATGGGCGGCGGTAGTCACTTACCATTAGGTGAACCGCATGCTCGTTTGCCCCCTCTCCTAAAAAAAAGTCTAACCAGGTTCATATTATGTATAGAAATAAAAATGCTATGATAAAAACATTAATTTTATTTTTTCAAATACACAAATAATGTATATCTTTTGGCCTTATAGTAACATTAGTGTAAAGAATACCTAAAAAATTCCACTAATGAGACAGCGATACAACAGTTTATTACGAGCAATAATATACACATTATTTTTTTCTTACATATTAATCGAATAAGAATAGTTATCGATACAAAAAACGTTTATGGAATGTATTGACCCTAAGCTTCAATGTCATTCGTATAAAATTTGTAATGTCTTGTAACTTTTAATTTATTTACAACTATTAATATTCAATTTCAAATATGAATAATAATAATGTATATTTATCAGTGATTATGGACAAAATTTACATTAAATTTACATCATTTGAAGTCCCTCAACTTGAAAAGAATTATCACAGAATAATCTGAGGTGATCTTCAAATCTTTTATAATTATTAAACGTCAATGGATTTTTCAGAAATATTTTATAATGCCCGCAACTACAAAAAGCGTTACATTAAAAAATTGAACAGTAAAAATAAATTATTCAGGTATATGTTTTTATACTTTAAGGCACATTCAGAATGACATTGAGCGTAATTTCAAAATATATCACCAATATCTTTTCAATAAAAAAATAATTAGTAATGTTTCGTCACATTACTGCTTATAATTTTGAGATTCTTATATGATCTAAGTAAGGATATATAAGCTTTTATTTAGTTTAGAAAGAAATAAAAATATTAATATTATCTACTATCACGGATTCAGCAAAATACCTTTGTAACCAATAACATGGCAACACACACTTTTAAAAATACGAAATCGTCGTTTCAGTTCACGCAACACTTAAGACTAATATTTAATAATTAATTCATAATATTTACCGAAAAATATTGCATTTATTTATACTAAGTTATGTGAACTCAAACGAGGACTGTTATTGTCTAAAGTTTTGCCTATTTTATTTAATGAAAGAAAATAATTTTAATTCTTTTTCAGGGGATCCAGGTTGTCTATTGAAAAATCTTCGTTTCCAAAGCTGATCCCCCGGCTGAATCCATCCTGTAAAAAAATAAGAGAAGAAATAAATAAATAATATAAGAATCTGAACTTAGTTGGTATGGATTAGTAATTTAGGTTACCATTTACTTTCTTCGAATTATTTTGACATTGATGATTTCCAGGAAGTCGTAGTGATAAAGTAGGCACGAATGTTGGGGACCATACATTCACTTGCGCTGTTTGAAATTGGTTCGTAAGCAGGGCTCGGATAACGGTATATTTTTCGAAACGTTTTCGCCTTAAATACCTAAAACTTATTTGTTTCGTATATGTTCGAACGGAATCATAATAAAAACGTTTATGAAGAGAACGAAATTTTAAATGGTTCTTGTTCAATAAAACGTTTTTAACCATTTTAAACCGTTTTTTCCCATTTTTAGCCCTGCAATACGAAACAAAAATATCTTATAGGTTTAAACTTGCCGTAGCACGTGCCATTCATTTAGTTTCCTGCGGAATAAACCGTTTTTTACATTTTCACGTTACGTTCTCATTTAGTTTTTGTTCCGAACAAAATGTTATACAAGGAACCGTCCCAAACGTTTTAAAAACGTTATTTTTAATAACGTTTCCGAGCCCTGTTAGTAAGTTCGTAAAATTGTGGTTGGTCAGCGAATACTATTCAAATTTAGGCATTATGAATGATGTCCTATATGTATGGTATATATGCTACGGACTAAGGGGTCCATAACATATATACTGTGAGTTGAAAGTGAAATATAGCTTGCTTAATATACAAACTTAAAAATTTGATGAAAAATAATAAAAATAAACATTAACCAACCTTCATCTCTGAAATAGTTTTGTCTAGGAAACCGTTGAAACTGCTATCCAATTCGACGGTTTGTTTCTCGCTGAGGTTACCGAAGCCGTTGAACGTGTTGCCGAAACCGTTGCCAAATATGTTGCCGGTTTTCTGCGTGTCGAACGGATCGTAACCGGTCAGGCCGTTCGTGAACGACGTGGTGGTGTTGTTGAAGACCGAAGTTTGCAAATTGAAATCACTAATGTCATAGTTCGGTTTGACAGCGTTTTGCGCGCCAAACGGTGAATTTTGTGTTGTCTGTGCCGGTTGTTGCTGGACGGTCTGGTTCGGGATTGAGAACGGTGTGGATCCGAAGAGATCGTTCCCGTTGATTGGTGGAGAGGCGGCTTGTTGCTGCTGGGGTGGCGATGTCTGGCGCTTCGATGCTTTGGGAGGTGGTGCCACTGTAAATATAAACAGTTTGTTAGTTATTGTGTCGTCGTAATCATAAGTCCAGTGAGTAAGGTCATTGGAATATTATGTAATACGTGCCAAAACAGACACCAAGACTTGTTTGTGAGTGTAGCGCATTGATTTTTTTTATTAGAAATAGCTGTTTTAGTAACGTAAGCACAATATACTTCAATGAAATAAGGTCGATAAATTCTTCATCAGACCACAACTGTACTTTTTTTATAGGATAAGGGTAGCAAACGAGTTCACAGTCAACCTGATGGTAAGTGAATTCTGTGACCCATAGATGAATCTACATCTATTCTTGATTAAGAATCAAAATGCAAATGCGTTGTCACCCGTGAGGACTAAGATGAAATGCTTCGTTTCCAGTAAAAAGGGTCTCCGGTTCTCTACACTCACCATACGAAACACAGCAGCGTTAAGCTGCTATTTGACGCTAATATTCTGTGAGAGCGTGGTCTTTCCCCGGTCGAGCCGACCCATTCGTGCTACAACCATAATATAGCTGAAGCGTGGCTCTACCACGTTAAAAATAACTTGTGTTGTCTCCTGTTTAAAGTCAAAAGTTATCCTATACAATTTAAAATTGTTTAATAGGGCTTTATTCATAACTAGCTGTTCCCTACGACTTCGCCCGCGTGTAATTTAGGGTTTTAATTATGTTGCGCGGAACTTTTTCTATCTTTGTAATCTATCTAATCCTATCTTTTTCTAAAATATAAGTAGCCTAAGTTCTCCTTATACCATCAGCTATCTGCCAGTGAAAGTCCCGTCGAAATCGGTCCAGCCGTTTCGGAGATTAGCCGGAACAAACAGACAGACAAACAAAAATTTTAAAAATTGTGTTTTTGTTATAAGTATCGTATATACTTTCATATAAATTTAGTAAAAATCTGTTATTTTGATAATACAAACAGACACTTCAATTTTATTTATTTGTATAGATTACTTTGTCCGTAAGTTATATTTCCATTTATCGGAATGCATGAATTTTTCTAGGATTTCCTAGTCACCTTTTGAAACACGACACCCGCTAATTAATATTAAATATTTTCACTATTTAATATGTTCACTGTTAAATATTATCACTAATAAATATTGCCAGAGTTAAATATTTGATATATCCAAATATGAATATTTGCTTACATAGCGGTGGCGCTGGAGACACGGGCTTCTCAACAAAGGGGCTCGCGAAGCGCGACATCGGCTCCGATTCAAATGCACGAGGATCGAAATCTGGAGAAAAATAGAAAAAAAACGTTCAAAATTGCATACCTGCCTACTACTTTATAAAAACTGTTTTTATAATGCGTTCTTATATTTACGCGAACACAAGAAAAACAATTAATATATAAACTGTGACATCAGCGTAGAGTAAAGCAAGTTTCATTTAACTGTTTTTATTTATTTATTTATTTATTTACAATTAAACTTATAATAGATTATTTGATTATTATTTTAAAAACGTCACCTCCACACTAGGATTGTCTCCCGTATCGCGGGGGCAGTTTACATGCATAGAATTCACAAGGACAAACATCCAGACCCAGAACAATTATTTGTAGGCCATACAAATACTTGTTCCGTGCGGGATTCGAACCCGCGCCGCGGTCCTTAGCGCTGCAACTCATTGCTAAGCCACTGCGCCACGGAGCCGTCAGTAATAAAAAGTAAAAGCGGTACTTCAAACAATTAAAAAGAACAAAACGGTTTCAAAGTCGGTGCTAAAATATACATAGTATATTGGAGAATTAAAGCGCGACTTCAACAAAATAATATTTTATTTCTGAACGAAAATTTTTGGAAGTATATTAGCACATAACTCTTATTTATCAACAACTAGCGTTGATTTCTGGATATGGACAACAACGCCACCTACCGGGTCCTATTGTGAATCTAAACCATTCATTAATCAACTTAATCACACACACACACACACAAAACTTCATCATAATTGGTCCAGCCGTTTAGGAGAAGGGCAATCACGTAAACGCGGAAAATAGAATTATATAATTATATAATACGCATGCAACTATTATTATACGTATAAACCTTAGTCTTGAATACTACATACTCGACTTTGAAATATTCTGTCTATTAATGAAAACCGCATCAAAATCCGTTGCGTAGATTAAAAGATCTAAGCGTACAGACGGCGGGAAGCGACTTGGTTTTACATTATGTAGAGATAACTTTCTTATTAATAAAATTTAACTAATATTCTTATTTATATGCCCAAGAAATGTATACTCACCACTGTCGGAGTCTGAGTTGAGCAGTAAGCCTTCTAACTTGGTGCCTACCACAGGGTTCTTGTTAGACGATAAATCACCCAGGAGCTTTCTGTAAATAAAAAAAAAATATTATAAATCAGTAGTTCCCAAACTTTTAAGGTATTGGAACACTCATCAAATCCCTTTTATTTTATGGAACCCCACATCAAATGATTACATATATTATCATAGACAGCGCAATTGAAATATCATAACATAATTCTAGCTAACTACCTTCGTATTTACCAGTGGAGTAGCGTGCCATAGAGGGGCCCTGTATCAAAATTTGTCGGGGGGCCCGAATGAAGGGTAAAGATTTTTCACAAAAGGAACAAAAACTCTCGCATTGAATTTAAATAATTATATATTGATTATACGTTATTACTTAAAATGAATACTCCTAGGAACTAAGCTAGCCAAACAATTCAAACCAACATCCTGTACCATAGAAGTCCTTAGAATTGTTGCTTACATACGTTCGGGGCCTGTGTAGCCCGGGGGCCCCGTATCATTGATACGGCGGTAGCTACGCCCCTGGTATCTACATAACGGTAATGGGTTCCTCTCATCAAATATTTTACATCAATTCAAAATAATATTTGTACCAAAGTGTGAAATTACTTAGCAAGCAAAGTAACTGTGTCAAAGTAATCTCTGTGTTAAATAAACAAGTTAAAATATGTAAAAGTATTTATGAACACTTCTTCCGTGCGGGATTCGGTCACGAACCCACGGAACGTTACTACAGTATACGAAACGAAACTTCTGAACAATAGAAAGCTACGGACGGTTATTGAGCAGTCAGTAGCTTGCGGTTGTTCAGAATTTATGGCCGCCTAGAGTCAACGATAAAGATATCATCGAGAATTACAAAGCGAAGCGCCGCCGACAGTTCAGAGTGTATCTACTAACTAGACTTGTCTTTTAGAGTAGTTGCTTACATCAATCTATCAACATTAAAGACTTACAAAGTTAAAAGAGAAAATTACGTTTCAACTCGATTGTCTTAAAATGACGTCAAATATTGTCTGTCGATAAAAAGCTAGCACTTAGAAGCCGAGTCAAACGTCATTCAAAAACGAGCTGCCGGAGTGACAAGGTTTGTGATATATTATGTTATTTTGTTATACTATGTTATTTAATTTTAGTTTACTGACATTTAGTTTAGTCGAAATAAATATTGTTATTGCGTTGATTAATTCCTTTTATTTAGAATTCTATGGTCCACTTTTGGGGTACCCTTACACGAGGCAGCTCGACCCTTGCTTTTGGAGTGAGGCTCGATGTGATAGTGATTCAAGCCCTTGAGGCTTGAATCACTATCGCAATGTGGGATAGTGAGGTCTATGGCCAGCAGTGGACTTAAACTACTGTGAAAATTGGCCAGGAGGAGAAATTATCGATTGCAGACTCACCCAGTGCTAAGGTTGGGTTTCCCATTGTGAGTCGGGGGAGGAGTGGCGAGCAGCAGGTTGTTGTCGTTGCTCGAGTTGAACGTGTCCGTTGAGTTGTTGGAGAGAGCATCGGCGCCTGGAACGAAACATTTTTCTATAAGTACTGCAAGTGAGCAATTCTTGTATGTGTGTGTATATAAAATGCTTGTTGTATACGTGGTAGAGCCACGCTGCAGCTATGTTATGGTTATAGCAAGAATAAGTCGGCTCGACCGGGGAACGACCACGCTTTCACAGAACGCCAGCGTAAAATAGCAGCTCAATGCTGCTATGTTTCGTATGATACACTCAGTATAGAACCGGACACCCTTTTTACTGGAAACGAGGCATTCCTACTGTGTCCTCGGAGGTGGCAACGCATCTGCATTTTGATTCTTAATCGAGGATAGTTGTAGGTGGTTAAGGGCCACGGTATCCACTTACAATCTAGTGGGCTGTGTGCTCGTTTGTTACCCTTATTCTATATTAAAAAAATCGAAATACGGCGATGGCACTAAGTAATAGATTTTTAGGTTTTAGAAAGTGATTTAGGTATTTTTCTAAGACTGTCACAGTCAGAATGTACAAACATTATTATTTTATTATTATTGCGAATATTACAAATAGCAAAATAATGCAACCCTACTCGACTTCGATCGATAACTGAAGATCAGTGCTTTGTTTCTTTGTGGGCAATACGTGTACTGAGTTAGGTCTCTATTTGTACCATTGCAGTGCACTCACACCGGTGCACAAATTGTACCAAGCATAATATGTATGATTCATTTGAATTTTTGTATTTAAAGTATTTTTCTACCGACTTCAAAAAGGAGGAGGTACTCAATTCGACTGTATGTTTTTTTATGTGTGTTACCTCATAACTTTTTTCTGGGTGAACCGATTTTGATGATTCTTTTTTTTATTTGAAAGCTGGTGCTTCTCATGTGGTCTTATATAAATTGGATCAAGGCCTGACCACTAGTTTTTGAGTTATTCTTAATAATTTATATCGAAGTTGGTTGTACAAATTATTAAATTTTAAATTATTAAATAGTTGTGTGTAACGTAAATAAACGCCTATCTATTCTATTTATCAAATCTCAATGTTTTGGTCAAAGAAAATCACTATGTTCTTTTGTGTTTCGGTCAACAAGTCTACGTACCCATGTCGGGGGTCTTGTTGCCGTTCATGGCACTGAAGCCGTTGGCGAGCGTGAGGGACGCGATCTGCTTGTCCAGCTCCGGCGGCGCCTTGAACTCCGTGATCTCCGCCAGACTGTTGCGGGCGAGATACGCCGACAAGTCGTCCTTGTACGTTATCTTGGAAAGCTCCTGGAATTAAATCACACGAGCAACTTTTATGGGCATTGCTGGAAATCATCATTCATCATGCTGAAAAAAATCATTTCATATACGTGGTAAAACTACGCTGCAGCTATATTATGGTTTTAGCACGAATGGGTTGGCTCAACGCGGTTGGGACCACGCGAGCGTCGTCTTTATAATAGCTGCTTAATGCTGTTGTGTTTCGTATGGTGAGTGTAGAGAACCGGAGACGCTATTTACTGGAAACGTGGCATGCCATCTTTGTCGCCAGAGGTGACAACGCATCTGCATTTTGATTCTTAATCGAGGATAAATGTACTACAGTATACTACCATCAGGTGGACTGTGTCCGTTTTTCACTGTTATTCTAAAAAAATATTAACGCTACACGTACTATATACATACATGTTGTTACGTTGAGTCAATGTCTAATTTAGCATCCTAATAGTTATAGATATTGTTCTGTTTAGGATTAGTCTGGTATATAAAATAATAGCTGGCTAGGCAGACGATCTACCTTTTTCTACGACCCTTTGTGTCCTATAAAAAATACTTAAATTTGCAAAAACTTTAAGGTCACTAATCGATATAAATAAATCTTATCTCTCAAGTTGGAGCAAGCAATACACATTTATGGAATTTCATCGCAATCGGTCAAGCAGGTAACAAAACGTTAACTTCGTCAACTTAAGTGAATCGGGATTTTATAACTCTACTAGGTGGTACCCGGCGCGTTGCTGCCACAGAAGCAATAATTGTGGAAATAACGTTTCAAATTTGTAAGAGTTATATTCTTTAATTTGGAATGATCAATACGTTCATGGAAATTGAATGATATATAACTTTCAAATAAATATCTATTATATATTTATTGCCTATAACCTTCGCGCAATTGAAAGCAATAAGTTGGCAAAGTTTTACCGCAAACTGATGAACGGTATGGCAGCGCATAAAATACGTTTTACGTGGTAGAGCCATGCTGCAGCTATATTAATAGTATAGTTGTAGCACGAATGGGTCGGCTCGACCGGAGAAGGACAGCGGATACAGAAAACCAGCGTAAAATAGCAGCTTAATCTGCTGTTTTGTACGGTGAGTGTAGAGAACTGGAGACCCTTTTTACTGGAAAAGAGGCATTCTATCTTAGTTTTCACGGCTGACAACGCATGTATTTTAATTCGCAAACGAAGATAGATGTAAATGTCTATGGGCCACATCAACCACTTACCATCAGGTGGGCTGTGTGCTCGTTTGTCACCCTTATTCTATAAAAAAACGAACAAACAAATGTTAATTTTTATATATTACATTTAGAGATATGTAATTAAAAAATAACTTTATTTATATGTATAATCGTTGGTGTGTTTGTTAGTAATCGGGTAAGTTCTGAACGATTTGACCGATTGAGGTCATATTCACATTTGTTTTGTCGAGGCGATGGTTCATAGTTAAGCTAGGATCCGATAGGTGACGCGATTTTGTTACGACAAACGTACCTGCAATCGATTCTTATACACGTTCATTTGTAGCTCGAGTTTCTTGTTCTGCAACGTGAGCTTCTGCATTTCTATATATTTGCCGTTGTCGTTTAAGAACCGCCTGGAAGAATATCAATTATTATTATTATTAATATTATTATTCTTAACTTTTAAACTATTTGTCAGAAGGTTTAATAAAGAATAAGGCCTAATAAGAAACAAACGCAGCAAGGAGCAGTAGATTTTTAGTATGTAATTATTTTTAACCGTCATGCTGCTATATTATAGTTGTAGCTCGAATGGGTCGGCTCGACCGGGGAAGGATCACACTCTCACAGAATACCAGCGTAAAATAGCAGCTTAATGCTGCCGTGTTTCGTATGGTGAGTGTAGAGAACCGGAGACATCTGCATTTTTATTCATAATCGAGAAAAGATGTAGAGGTCACAGCATCCGCTTACAATTAGGTGTGTGCACTCGTTTGTCACCCTTATTCTATAAAAAAGCATGACGCATATATACATACATACATAAAAATCTATATATTCATTAAAGATCATCTACTAGAAGTGTGTCTATAAAGTACATACAGTCTCGCAGAGGGGTATGCAGCGACTAAGGTTTTATATTTAACACGATTCTACCAAGTGTTTTTATGACGCATTAAAGACGCATTGAGATCCATTTTAAATGCATAGACAAATATTGCTTCACTCTCTTTGCCTGATATCAGAACAATGTACAAACTCTTATCGTGCTTTGTGTGGACATAAAGCTAATTACCTTTTCTTGTGAATGTTTATGAAATCGTTAGGATTTTTATTGATATAGCATTATACTGTTGTTATGGTATTTTTTGCTTATTATAATTTATAAGCTAGTACTTGACTTCTATCCCATCAGATACCAAGCGATCATGTAGCCGAAAATGAAACCACGCTGGCTCAGTGTGACAAAAGCCTATTAACTCTTTCCTTGATGGCATCCATATTGTAATCGTAAGGAAATGCAGACGTTGTTATCTTTTGACGGCTCGGTAGCGCAGTTGCCATTGCGCTGCGGCGCTACGGCACCTAAGGCACGAAACAAGTTTGTACTTGTAGTTTGTAGTTTGTATTGAAGAAAATTCTATTTTGTAGTTGAGTAAAATTTTAATATTATTCAGATGTGGGTAAAAATTCAATTGCATTCATATATATTATATATATTACATACACACAGGTCAAGGTAATCATAATAGCGTAATAATTAAAATGCGTATTTATTTAAACTTATATTGATTAAATTATATTTTTTTTTCGTTAATATGTAATAGTTTCAAAATATGAAATTTAATTCGTTTCAAAAGGTCTCCACCATAAAATGTAAAAAAGTAGATGAAACATATACTACTTATCATTATTAAATAATCTTATCATATTACAAATATTATTGTATTAAAATTTAGCATATTAAAAAACAAAAAGAAACTTATAACGTAAGGCCCCGGCGAGATTCGAACTCGCGATCTCCTGTTTACTAGACAGGCGCTTTAACCAACTAAGCCACGGCGCCACATGTCTAGACTATTGAAATTTAGTATTTTATCGTAAACAAGCATAGTAGCATTACTACGTGCAAATGCAATCGCATAAACTGACCAGAACACTACAAATTTTAATAGTAGACGTACTTTGTTGGTTTCTTAGAAAAAATAATTTTGATTTAGTCCTAACTTTAGCATCGCAAGCTAAAAAGCTAACGATAAAACCCAAGTGTGCAATATTTACCTATTCGCATTTCTTAACACCATTAAAACAATGTTGTGCACGTTTAGGACATGATATTTCCATTTTTACCTCGAGTCAACACGAAAGTTTTCAGGTTAAAGACATTTATTTATCACATAATACAATATACAGTTCGTGTATCAGTGACAAATATTGAATACTTAACAATTAACAAGTATAAAAAACAAACGGCTGCGGTTCAAAACAAGTAAAAATTAGGATGAGTAATTTTAAACGTCTTTTAAATAATGCAATAGTGCTACATTCTTTCACATTATTAGGCAGCTTGTTGTAGAGTTACACTCTTACTTTACTTACTTTTATAGGATAAGGCTGACAAACGAGCACACTGTCCACCTTATGGTAAGTGGTTGCTGTGGCCCATAGACATCTACATCTATCTTCGATTACGAATCAAAATGCAGATGCGCTGTCACCCGTGAGGACTAAGATGGAATGCCTTGTTTCCAGTAAAAGGGGTCTCCAGTTCTCTACACTCACCATAGGAAACACAGCAGCGTTAAGCTGCTATTTTACGCTGGTATTCTGTGAGAGCATGGTCTTTCCCCGGTCGAGAGGACCCATTCGTGCTAGAAATATACTACTAATAGCTGCAGCATGGCTCTACCACGTTAAACATGGTAGAGCCATGTCCTACGTCAGTTCCATAAATAGGCAGCGCTAACTTGTGTCTATTTCAAGTACAGGGTTGATCTTAATAGTATTTTTTAACTAGTATGAATGTACTATTAATATAAAGTTTATTTAACAATAGTTTTACAGATAATTAACAAAAAGAACCAACCTGTAAGCTAAATCGAAGGCTTGTCCAATCGTCAACGTGATCTCAGACGCTAATTTGGTGGAAATAAAAACGAAGCACTCGTGTTTCTCCATGTTCCCATTATCATGACCGTTCATGCCATTGACGGTGCTGCCACCTTTCGCGATGAAAGAGAAATACTTTTTGGCGCCCTTGTCATCTGCGCAGTAGGATATCCGGTGAAGCGGGAACTGGTATAGGATGTTGTTCGATCTTGGCTCCTGGAAATCAAAAACAAATAATTAATAAAAACGGACGTTATTTTTCGGAAATCCACTGTAATTTAAATTAATTAATTTCAACATCTATATATTATACTATATTATTTGATTTTTTGAATGTAATATAACATGTATATAATCAATGTTTATGAGTTCGAATACTGGATCGTCACGGGCCAAATACAGCTATCGTTTTTCAGCCCGGAGTCAGGAAATTAACGGTGTTTCACCCCCGTGTCTCGGGTAGCACGTAAAATCGTTGGTCTTGCATCTTATCTCTCTCCGATCGTGAGAGGGAGGGAGTAGAGAGTACACCTGTACTTGTAGCTATCTACTACGTCTACGGCCTACTTCTCTACCGACTTCAAAAAGGACTGTAGTGAAGGTATGTACTCAATTCGACTGTATGTTTTTTTTAATGTGTTTTACCTCGTAACTTTTTACTCGGTGAACCGATTTCGATGATTTTGATGACGTTGGTGCTTCTTATGTGGTCAATATAAATTTGATCAAGGTCTGACAAGTAGTTTTTGAGTTATTATGTATAATTTATATTGAAGTCGGTTGTACAAAATATTAAATTTTAAATTATTACCACCCTCTTACTTAATTCTGCCGGCAAATAGCATGGCGTGCACTGCTGTATTTCAGGCGGAGGGTATAGAGAGTTAGTATAGTTACAGATATACTACTGTGTACTAAGGTATTCCTCAGAGGTGCCAACGCATTCTTTCTTCATTCTTCCCTCTTTATTTGTTGTTAAGTTATTGCACGTGTCCATGGATTGCAGTAGCGACTTATCAACAAGTGAATAGTAATTTTTTTTGTCCCTTCAGTTTTATAAAAAACTAGCTGTTCTCCGCGACTTCGCCCGCGTGTAATTTAGGGTTTGAATTATGTTGTGCGGAACCCTAATCCTTTTTCTAAAATATAAGTAGCCTAAGTAACTCCTTATAACATCAGCTATCTGCCAGTGAAAGTTCCGTCGAAATCGGTCCAGCCGTTTCGAAGATAAGTCGGAACAAACAGACAGACAGACAGACAGACCGACAGACAGACAAAAATTTAAAAAATTGTGTTTTTGTTATAAGTACAGTATATACTTTCATATGCATTTAGTAAAAAGCTGGTATTTTGATATTACAAACAGACACTTCAATTTTATTTATTTGTATAGATGTATTAGATAAAAAGTTTCGGATACGGACAACATAATACAACAAAAAAAAATGTCCGCAAGGGAAAACAAACAAATATGAGACCAGTTAACGTTGGTTTTCTGTTGTTTATAATTTATTGACCGACTTCAAAAAAATGAGAGGTAATCAATTCGACTGTTTTTTTTTATGTGTGTCAGAACTCTTTTCTAGGCGAACTGATTTTCATGACTGTTTTTTTTATTTAAAAGCTGGTGCTTCTCACAAATAAATTTGATCAAGATCTGACCAGTTGTTTTTGAGTTATCCTTAATACCTAATGCGTATTTAATAATTGACTTCGACTACATTGATGAATGTCTCATTTTATTTATATTGAAGTCGGTTGTACAAAATTTTTACTTTTACCACTTGTTTTAATAAAAAATCATACGTTTTAAGATATTGTTTGTATATTTCTCAAAAAGAAAAAGGTACATTTCATTTGCCTGAGAAATACAAAATAGCTTAGAATATTGTCAAGTGTCGGACCGACATGTTTCTTATTACGTTATTATTTCTGAAAGCATTATTTTTTAAATATAATTCAAAATGAGTTCTAGTTGTCAAAACAATATAGTGTGTAGTGGCGGTGTACGAATATCCACTACCCCATATCCCGTGGGTGTCAGGAGATGGGCAGAAGCGTCTTCCTAATAATGACTATTTATAACAAACTGCGGTTGCCAACCTGCTTGCCAAGCGTGGCAGCTATGGCAAATATCACCCCAATGAGGCAATCTATGGTGGAGACTTATGTTTAGCAGTGGACTTTAATAGGCTGTAACGGAACGGTAACAGTATCAAAAGAAAGTGGGTAGGTTGTGTATCTTCCTTCAATTTCATTTACGGTATTCTGTGATACCTTCTATTCGGATATTAAGTTTTATTAAAAATAAAAACCAACTTCAAACAACTAAAACAGAATAAAGTAATTCCACATTCTGACAGAAAAATAAGATTTCTGACTAATGGAATTTACGGTCACCACCTACCAAGCAGTGGAACGGGGCGTATCACTTGAACGCGTCACGCTTTCAAGTCACGGCAGAAAGGTCACCGGCGAAATGAATAGTATATTTTGCATTATTACGTTTGATCCAAGTCAGTTGTATGGAATAAGGTCAAATGTAAACCGAGAGTCGTTAAGCGGACATAAAAAGGCTAAAGCCACTATTATTTGCACCCGGCGGGATCGTCGTAAACTCGAAAGCCGGTAAAGTTGAAACATATCCAGCGATTTGTCTTGCTCCATGTCTTTCACATAATCATAAACTCTCACGCTTACTACCCATAGAGGTAGGCAAAAATTACGGACTTCCAATTGACACGATCCTGTCACACTTCTCTCGCCCACGCTGTATATACTTTGGTACATTCAACAACAATACATAATATCATACAACAAACATTTGCTAATTTCACATAACTCATTTTGAATGTACATACGGTCCCTATTAAAATAAAAATTTGGTTGCTTCTTTACGCTGTAACACGTCGAGAAGGAAACCGTAAAATAGCAGAATAATGCTATTGTGTTTTGTATGGTAAACGACGAGAATGGTAGACCAATTTTATTGTTAATGGAGGCATTCCATTTTAAATTAGAATAGAAAAATATGCCACAGCATCCTATTACCATCAGGTGGTCTGTGTGCTTCTTTGACACACTTGCTTAATTTTGTATAAAAAAATAAGGACAATAGGATTAAGTGTATTAATCTGCTAGAAATCCAACAGAAGGAGACTTAAAACTACAATAATATTATTATTAAACCAATATGGCGTAGATAGGGGCAGCGTAGAAGCATTCATTATACTCTATATTATTTGAAGGATGTCGTGAGAGACGACAAAGGGAAATGAAACAGAAGATGGGCATGAACATCTTCCTCTTAACAACTCAAGGTAATAAAAACCGCGGTTCCCTTTGCAACTTTGGCAAATAACCCCCTTTATGAGGCAATCAACGGGGGAGGCATATGTTTAATAGTGTTCTTTTGTTAGGCTATAAAGAAATAACAATGTTATGTTTATACAATTTTATTTGCTGTTGTTTTCATGTTGTGGCATTGCAAATTTTTACATGGTAGAGCAATGCTGCAGATATATTAGTAGTATACCTGTTGTAGCATGAATGGGTCGGCTCGACCGGGGAAGGACCACGCACTCACAGAATAAAAGCGTAAAATAGCAGCTTAATGCTGCTGTGTTTCGTATGGTGAGTGTAGGGAACCGGAGACCCTTTTTACTGGAAACGAGGCGTTCCATCTTAGTCCTCACGGATGACAACGCATCTGCATTTTGATTCGTAATCGAGGATAGAAGTAGATGTCTGTCTATGGGCCGCAGCAACCACTTACCATCAGGTGGACTCTGTGCTCGTTTGTCATACTTATCCTATAAAAAAAAGATATTGTGGGTGTTGAAATAATCATTATCCTTATAGCACTTCATAAGTCTAGTGATAAACATAGGCCTCCCCCAAGGAACAATCAAAGCCCAGTCCTGAGCTACAGAAGAGGGGGCAAACGAGCATGCGGCTCACCTGATGGTAAGTGACTACCGCCGCCTATGAACAAACGTAACATCAAGGGAATTGCAGATGCGTTGCCGACCTTTTAGAAAGGTGTAAGCTCTTTTCTTGAAGGTCCGTAAGTTGTATCGGTCCGGGAAAATCGGCGGTGGTAAACAATTCCACACAAAAGTTGTACGAGGAAGAAAACTCCTAGTAAAACGCACAGTCATGGACAGCCAAGCATCCAGATGGTGAGGATGGTATCGTGAATTTTAACGCGATATGCGTTCGTGAAATTTGGCGGCTGGAATTTATCCGAACAATTCCTCAGAGCACTCCCCGTGGTAAATTCGATAGAAAATGCAAAGGGATGCAACATCTCTACGCAGTGCCAGTGTATTGAGCCGATCAGAAAGAACTCGGTCGTCGACGATTCGAACCGCTCTGCGCTGGATGCGGTCAAGTGGAAAGAGCTGGCACTGGGGTGACCCGGCCCAGAGATGAAAACAGTATTCCATGTGATGATTTCTTATATTTACGCGAACACTACACATTGAATAAAACTATTTTTACGGATTTTATCGCGTTTAATTTACTTATTTTATATTCCCGACGTTTCGGTTGCTTTCCAGCAACCGTGGTCACGGGGGACTGAGGTGATTGACGTCCCGATGTCAAAGTTAACCCGGAGTACCTTCAGCTTTTTAATTATTAATTTTGGTCCGATCTACGCAGAATGAACTAACTGTGTCTTGAAGTCTTACAGTGGTATGCTTGGGTTTAGTTTTAATTTTATGAATTACAGGATCCCAAGCAGGTGGTAGTACCCAGCCTCCCTCTCTATTGAAATTAGGATGTTTTTTAATTCCAATAGGCTATTGAAATTAAAAAACATCCTAATTTCAATAGAGAGGGAGGCTGGGTACTACCACCTGCTTGGGATCCTGTAATTCATAAAATTAAAACTAAACCCAAGCATACCACTGTAAGACTTCAAGACACAGTTAGTTCATTCTGCGTAGATCGGACCAAAATTAATAATTAAAAAGCTGAAGGTACTCCGGGTTAACTTTGACATCGGGACGTCAATCACCTCAGTCCCCCGTGACCACGGTTGCTGGAAAGCAACCGAAACGTCGGGAATATAAAATAAGTAAATTAAACGCGATAAAATCCGTAAAAATAGTTTTATTCAGTATTCCATGTGTATATTTAATCAGGTCTGCACTCGTATTTAGTGGGTTAAATGAATCCTTACTGAATAAAATATATGATATGAGGAAGTC